ACCAACTAATGCTGATCTGCCCAGCGTAAATCGGTTTACTTTACGGCGAAGAACCTCATCGTTCTATTTAACTAATTTTATAAGCTTGATTTTACTGGTATAAAATAATATATATCCTTTAACAAAAATTGTACATTCATAATAATAACTCAACAGAACTTAAGTAAGACCTGTAGCAAAACATATGTGTTTTAGTCTATTGTCCTATTGAGTATATCAAAATTTCGACTCTCATATTACTTTTTTTAATAGCTGGTTTTCAAATTACGCATACTTTTGTATACTTTTCTTCCACAATCAGTATTAAAATGAATATAAATGCTCGCACATTGAGTACCTTATCAGTGCCTTTTAAAGCAATATAATAAAAGCAAATAAAGCTGTCATATAATACACACAGATCAGATTACTAAATTGAATTATATGAAGTCGTAACATTTTAACAAATTGAAGCGTGTCAAGATGAAAATAACACAAATTAAAAATAACCACATTCATATTGAAAACAAAGGGCACCCTCAAGATAAATAATTATTATTTGGTTTGGCTTATCGTAAAATAACTATTTTATTACCGGATGGATTAATAGAACAGAATAAAAAAGTTTGTAGTTTTATACAATTGGATCAAAATGTTTCCTGAAAATAACAAATTTAAATAATAAATAACGAATCAATAATCTGTTTACCCCGCTGAACGCACCCAATACTTGAAGCGATAAGGCAAATACATTTCTTTCTGTGAGTGAGCAAAATATTTTTCTCTCGCATTGGGGCCATCGACTTTATTTTGTTTCGAAAGTATTTGCATTAGTTTAATCTAGTTAAGCAGCGGACAAAAGCTCAGCGAAGGGAAAATTATGACGGACTGATTGGCTGAGTGACAGACCGAAGGACGACGCCAGAAGAAAGTTGGTCGGAGTGAGGATTCAATTTGTCTGAGCTGGTGATGCTGCTGCTGCTGCTGCTGCTTATCTGGAGTATAAAAGCAAGTGATCCAGCAACCAGGGAACCCAAGAGCTGCACTTGCCTGTCTTTGCCATGATATGGCCACCGCGTTGCATTCAACTCCGTTCGAGCAGCCATAGATACACACACTGCGATGCGGATACCCCCAAGCAGATACAAATATGCTCAAAGGTCACATGTGCATCTCGCTGCCATTGCCATATGGTGTGGCATCCATGGCGAACTTTCGGTGTGGCGTCATGACCGCAATTTTCCCTGGCGGTGGAAAAGCAGGCGATTTCCCAGGGGTCGTGGCAGCGCGAAAAACCCGCACATGCGCACGGTGGGCCTGCGACAGTGGGAAAATGGGTGGTTGGAATGTGGACGTGCTGCCGGTCGAGTGGGGCAACAAAAACTGGTTTTGGGGACCAGGCCACACGCGATGCCTGATAAAGGCTGAATTTGCAATTCACTAAAAAGGCTGTTTGGCAATATGCTAAATTACCTCTTGGAGAGTCAGAGAACCTGCTATTTTCACCAAATGCGTCCACCAAATGAGCAGAAGGCTATGAGAGAACTGCAAAGATAAGATAACTTCTGAAAAAAAAAACGGAAAATCAAGCCATAAAAACTTTGGACAGTCTTTGGGCTAAAAAAAAAAACTGTCGCAAATCAAGAAAGTTTTTTTTAAAAAGTTTGCATTACAATACGTTTTTACTTGAATTTTTCTTAACATTTTTTAATTTATTCGGTAATATTTATCTATGATAAAAATAAAAGTAATTAAAAGAAAATCTTATAAACATTTTTTAAGGACTGATAATTGAAAGTAAAACTAACTTCACATAATTAAATCCATTTCAAAACTTTCTCTCTGTGTGATTCTATGTGATTCTATAAAATCACATTCTAGATATAATTCTTAGATTGTCTTTATTAGTATGCCACCCATAAATAGAAACTTGTATAAGTTTAATTAAATAATCAAAGCGAATAAAAATGGCTACCAGTGTAAGCAGTTTGTAGATGCACCTCAGCTTCTGTAGAGCTCAGTTCACTCAAAGAAATTAATTTAACGAGTATTAAAGCTGGCTACATTTTAATTAATTAAGAAACTAATGCTGCGGTAGATATGTTGCTGCCGCATGCATGAAAGTCACTCGTTTTTCCAGTAATAAGGCGAATAAAATATTTAAACTTACTGCCGAAACCCGTTCCTTCCCTGGGTCGATAGGGAATTATTTAAGCAAAGTCGCGCCGCTTACCGTAAATTGCAATTTATGCCCAGCGGCAGGCCAAGTTGCATCAGTTAACCAGTTTGACGGCTTTGAGGCTCCATTTCGAACCGAATGAAGTAATCACAATTGATAATTGTTGGATTACATCGCCGCATCTGCATCTGTATCTGCATCTGTTATTTTTGGGTTCGTTGATCCATTCGAATGGCCGCCATGCGCCGCCATGCGCCGCCATCAAGTATCCCGTATTCGCATTTGGTTTCCATAACTTTTACGACTCTGGACACTCCCATCCACTCCCGAGATGGTCAACTGGGGAACTATTACAATGCATCGCATCGCATCGCAACGCATCGAAAGACGGCGCGGAATCAATTGTCATAACAGACAGTCTCCGGGCAGCTGAGTAGCAGATTGCTTTACGAGGGCAAATATTTGTGCTGCCTGTCGGCATGTGTCCGTCCGTTCCTATAGATACGGATCACAGACCCATATGCCCAACCCGTTCGTTGCTGCAGCAGCAAAAAATAGTGAGCGCTGGAAATTGCAATTTATATGGCTGCCATAAACAGAGGATGCAGCACTTTCACTTTTCCCGGAACATTAGGAACGCTTCATTTTTTGACCGACAAATGTGTCGCTGTTTTTTTTTTCGTTAATTGCATTCAGAGCGTAGCACTCGCAGGTCGCAGGAGGTACCTTTGAGCCTGGGTCGTAAAACCCCTTCCCGAAATCGCGACTACGACCGCTGGGCACAGCCGGGGATCGCCTCCGACGTTCCATATCCGCAGCAGGCGGCAGGATATTAGGGAGTTTTTTGACTTTCTTATACATTTTTATACATACACTGGTGGAAAATATGAAATTATTGTTTATAAACATTTTTATACGCTCTTGGTAATTTATGGATTTATTTTTATAATTTGTTTAGTGATTAAATCTTATGTAAACATAAATTACATATTTTATTGGATTTTTATATTTGTATGAATATTTAAATATTTATTTATAGCCACTGCTGTGATTTACCTTGCCTGTTGAGCTAAAATCTTGATAGTCTAATTGGTTGTTCCATGTCATTCGTAAGTTTATATCCATTAGGTACATGACCTGATTGAAACTCATGTTTCTCCGTGTTCAGGTTGTGCCCTAGCATTTCAAATGACACCTCCCCTTAAAAGTTTTCCACTTTCTCCAGAGCTTCTGCTCTGGAGATTTGTTCCATCGTGACCCTTGTTACGATAACAACGAGGCTTCATAAATATATCGAAACACGAGTGAATTCAACAAATCAACACGCGGAGGGCGGGGTAATGAAACATTTTTCTTTTTCCATTTGCCGCGTGCAGCTAATCTTCGGAAAACGGAAAATATTAATGAGCCAAAGTTTCTCTTTTATGGAATTTCGATACTGACAGACAGTCGCTGGCGGGGAAAACTAGTGGAAAACACCATCACTTTGGCCTGGACATGTTTGTCATTTACAAGTTACGCGGCCAATTACTTTGAGGACCCGGAGGCAGCCACTCTCCGGAAAATGGCCACGTCTCCGACGGCTCATTATGAAAATGAAAGCAGTTTCGTCCGCAGAACATAGAACAGGCAGCCTGAGCCATGTATTCCGCCAGAATTTATGCACACGAGCATATTCCATGGGGGAATTCGAGGTCGCTCGATTGCCGTCTGTTTGTCTATCAAACAGGGAAACTAAAAAGTTTTCGCAAAAAGCACACAGCAAAAAATGGGAATTGATGGGAACGGGGGCAGATGGCTGATGGCTGATGGCAAAAACAAACAAACAAACCATGGACACTCGACTCGACAGACTCCGGTGGGCGTAAAATGGCGACCGGGAGGGGAGGGGGCGTGGCAAAGGGCACACGACCTATATGAGCATAAAAGCGAACACACATACATATAGCACATATGAAGCGTCGACATCGATGTCGGCATAATCGAATGAGCGGAGGGTAATGGGGCGCACGGAAGACCCGCAACTGGACCCCATGGAATATGAATGCATGCATCTCGAGCATCTCGGGCATCTCCATATAAATGTCCCCCCGTGCGTGAATGTCCAATCCCCGGAAAGCAACTATATATTTATTGTACTCCTGCCTTCCGCAAACACGAAAGCGCACTCTGGACGGGAGCGGGGCTAATGGGTTGGGGTTCGGTGGGCGGTGGGCCGAAATGAATTGAAATAAAATGATAAGCGTGAAATAATAATGAGGAGCGTGTTCCGGCATAAATCGGTTCGTCCTTCCTCGGCAACTGTCTCTGTCAAATGGGTTGGAGTATTTGGGTCCTGGCCGGCCATTTGCTTTGTGTAATCCATGTAATCGGTTGTAAAAAGTGTTTTACATGCGAGTCCGCTTGCATAAGCCGCCAAATGGCGCGTAGCTGAGAGGAAAACTCACACATGAGCGGGGAATTTTAAGTGGTTTCAGAAACCTCGCCCTAAACTGCTTAAGAGTCATTTTTGAAAAATTTCTAAAAATTGACATTATTTTAATAAAATATTTTTTGAGCTCATACCAAAAAACTCATTTAACAAATTTGATGACAGTAGAAACCTTTTTCAGCCCATACATTTTTAAGAAATATTTCTTTTGTTAGAAATTCTTTAGTCAGTAATTTGTTAATTGAAAGAATAGCTTTATTGTATTTGTAATTTTTTTCTAGGTCATTTAAAAAAAAACAAAGAGAATATAAATATGGAAATAACTTTTGTTTTGCCTTACGCTTTTTCAATAAAACCCCTCATTTTTAATTTAATAAAATATATTTTTCCTCTTTCTTTATCTCACTCCAGTTGGATTAAACATCGACCCCTGGAGCGCGGACTTAACCCGGCGGCAGCTGCTTCAGGTAAGTCTCCATCTCAGTATTTTTCATATATTTATATGCAAGCCAAATAAAAGTTATAATAATGGGATTGTGCATATGTAAAACTCCATCTGCCGACCATGAAACTGTCCAATTGAATTGGGTCGCAGGTGCAACTCAACCGTCAAAGAAAACAAGATGGGAGTTACCCAAACAGTTTAAATTCGCTTGGCAGCTTCACTTCTTATTTGCCAACATGATTTTTGCTAAATTACGTTTCCAAACAAAAAACAAAATGCCTGTGTGTGCGGCATATGAAATAGTTGGGACCCAAAGCTGTACCTTTTGCTATTTATTTTTCACATCCGCATACAGATTCCCTCCCTGTTCGATATGAAAAAAGGCAAAAGTTGATCAAATAAATGGCAAAATTTCCATATTCCAGCGATAAGAACGGAAACGTGTAGCTCAAAGATTTCCATCAAGTCGAATCGGATTCGCAATGGGAGAAGGAAAACGAAAAGGCGGGCGAGTAACAAGTTGTGCGAATCTCTAAAAGGGGGCGGTGGTGGGAGGTCCTTGGGCTGCGCGGGCAGGTACGACTACAACCCCCATCGCTTAGCTAAGTAAATGGGTTGGCCGACGAACGTGACTTGGCCTGGCCCCATCTCCATCCGCACGCCCTTCCTCAGCCATCGGTTATTTAGAGCACATGTCTCCTCCAGCTCGAGATATTAGCAATGACTGCACAATGGTAGGGCAATGGTGAAAAGCAATCACATCTTTCAATTCAGCAGGGAATTAAAAAATTCAAAAGCAAAATATAAGATATTAATACATTTTCTTATTTAGTTTGACATGCTTTTAGCTAACCCAAACATTCATACAAAGAAAGTAGCAACAGACCATTGAATCTCCCTCAAAATCAAAGTTTTAAGTAATTATCTTCAGAATAGTTTCATTTTTTAAACGTTCCAATGTCATATTATAACATGTTAGACTTTTTTTTAGGGATAATTAAATATTTTTTTAAATTTCGAACGTAATTTTTTCTAGAGAACTTTTCAAACTATGTTTACTTTTAAATATATGCATTGATTTTGGTTAAAAAGTTAATATTTCAACAATTTCGTCTAACTATAATACCTTATTCCACTGTGCCATCGCCTTGGATCGACGCAGCCAGGCAAAGCCAGTCACGAATCCAAACTAATGAGGAATACACGTAATTACATGTGGTTACGCAATATCAAAAGTTCGGCTCCAGGTCGAGCTCAGCTCGTGGCATTGTCTTACTGCCGGGTATCCCGCCCCTGCATTTGTGCCACAGCCATATAGTTCCGTTCAAGGAATCAATGCCCTGAGACAAACCCAGAAATTTAATAAACACGCAAGTGCACGGAAGTAAATTATCCCGTCAGTCAATTATGTATGTTGCTACGCCGCAAAGAACCCCTCCCTTGTGCTCCAGTTTCTCAGTTAAGACCTGACTTGGACCTGGTTTGGTTGTTGGGGATTGGGGATGGGGAATGGGAATGGGGGCTGATGTCTTGAGACGCCACATAAATACCTCGTTTACTTTCCCTTACTTGTGCCTGTGTGCGAAGTTGCTGTTCCTGCTTCATTAAACGCCTGCCACACTCGCTTCAATTGGTTGCTTTATTTGTGGTTGCCTTTTGTGCTTTTTAATTAAATGTTTTCCTCCTTCTTTGAGTCCTACCTGCGTAGTCATCGAAGCCATTGCCAAACCTAATTAAATGGTCCCCAGATCGTTTCGAAGGAGTGAACCTAGCCGGCATATTGTTTTCTTGAGCGCAAATGAAAATAATAAAACTTTAGTTGATGCAGGTGGAAGTAGATAAGGCAGCAATTACACTTGAAACGTTATAGCACAAGTTAAATAAAACTTAAAATGACGTAGGCAAAATTTCATTGAAACCAGAGAAAATGAACTGTCATTTGGGATGATCGTTGAAGTTTAAATTAAGTTAAAAATAAGTGACACTATTGTATTAAAAGAAAGTATAAACGTAGTATAAACTGCAGGTGTCTTAATATATTTGGTAAATTTTTTCAAAAAAATGTAGTTGAATCCTTATCGAACAGAAATTTAAGGCACACTTTTGCGATGAGCTGTTGTCGGGTTGAGAAAAGACTCCATTTGGCTTGCCATGTCTGAAAGGCTCTAAATAAATAATGAAATTACGTCTGCAGCAGACAACTTCATGTAAGTGGCTTTGGTTCTTCAACGGACTGGGCGTTCATTTGAAATTTTAATCAGCGCTTCGTGCTGAAAATTTCAATTGCGGGGCCGAATTGAATTAATTTGACTAATTTCTTAGATACATTTGCATGAAGCAAGCTTTACCGCGCTTCCCCACTCTCTTAGACCAACTTGATTACATTAAAGATGCGCAATTATAAGGGCCCAGAAAATTCACAGAGACAGTCCGGCGGGATAATGAGAAGGGTTGCCCAGATGAATGACCAAAATGGCTGAGGGTTGGGCTCTGGCTTCATTAAGTGCCAGAAGGTGCTGCCAATTTGGAACTGCCAACAACCTTTGCCCCTTTCCTCACCTGTTTGGGTTTCGCGGATACCAGATTAGGTAAAGAGCTGCGCCTCAAGTAAAATATTAATGGGCCTTGAAAAGAAAAAAAACAAAAAATACGTTTATTACATAGTTTACCTTTTTTTAAATATTTTTGCATGCCGAAATTTTGTAATCAGGCTCTTGGAAAAGTTTACCTCTTATAAAAATATAAATAATATTTGTTATCAAAGTCCATCTACGCTTTTGCTTGAACTGAATTTATTATTCTTATTTCCCTGTTTCGAAATTCCGCAATTTTTGAGGGAAAATACTTGTCTGCTTTTTGCCTTTGATTTATTTGCGTCAGAATTCCGAAGGCCGCTGCTAATTAAACAACAAAAGACCAGCAGCACCTACAGTGGATCAGCATCAACAAAATTCGAATCAGCCTCGAATCGTAAACAAACTTTTGCCGGCTCGACTGGTGGGTGTTGGGTGGTGATGAGGGCAGCCATAAACAGCTGCACACCGAACGGGTTCAAGTTGAATGAAGAAGCTATTTCGGAACATGCACTGAAAAAATTAATGTCGATTGGATTATAAGAGCTAAGGCCTTGTACCCTTAATCTTATCGTAGAATCCCAACTAATAAATATTTGTGAAAATAAAAATAAATATTTTGTATAAATTGTAAATGTCATAGACATAATATATTTATTTACTGCTATATAAAAATGTATTTAATTAATTTTAAACGATTTCTAACAGAGGCATAAATTCAAAAAGTTAAGTTTGGCTGTTTTAAAGAATTTATTAACAAAAAAATTGAGACAACAAATGTTTGCTTTTATAAAATGTGTTGCAAGTCGGCACTACATTTTCTTTTGTGTTTCGTTCTAAAGTTTATTATTCTAAGTGGATTTGAAATATTACTGTTAGGAAGCAACCTATGCCATTTGAAAGCCAGAGGGTATCGAAATGGAATCGAAAACTCACGTAGCAACCACTATGGGAGTGTCGCTCTGTCTCCTTTCCTCTGACCCCTTGTGCGCATGCTGCGTCCCTGTCGCACTCTCATCACACACACCACACACACACACAGGTAGGGCGACTCCTGATGCGGCGGCCATTGAAACTGGCGGCCATTCCCCCCGCCCCTCGTCCGCCTAGTCTTTCACTTCGAGCAGTGAACTGCGCAAAACAAAACAAAATCTCTCGCATACTCACGTAACCTGAAATCGACTTGAGCCTGAATCGAGGCAAAAATCTGTTGTTGTCGGAATTAAATTTATATTCCAGGCTGGGACTGCGACCCACCCCCGCCCCCTTTTGTGACCCTCGCACAGCCAGTAGATAAATGTGAAAAAAAAAACCGAAATTTGTTTGGGTTCTCGACTGCATACAATTGTGTTTGCTTGTGACTCACCATAGAACCACATTCGGTATATTATTTTTGTACATGCGTGCTGGGGCACATTTATTTACATTTTTTAATGCACCCAATAAAAAAAACAAAGCACAAACAAGTTTTCTTCTCATTTTTATTTTGCAGCGCTGGTTTATTTGTTTTTAAGTGGGCACAACTTTGCCACCAGATATTTCTCGAAAGAAACTTATGTTTGGCTTGACTTATACGACATAATTTTTTAACGATTTAAGATAAAATTACTTAAATTTATGGGGACACGACACATAAAATATTTCTTTGTTAGAATACATCCATAATTCACTGTGACACAGTTACGTTTTAAAAAATGGCTTTAACCGTTTTGAAATATTAATATCAGTTCTCAGAAGATTTATATTTTATTTTTTTTTCAAATATATTTATTAAATAATTGTTTTTTTTTAAATAATATTGTAATGAATAATTTATTTATAAGTAGATTTTGATTTATTTGGCTACATATCACATGATTGTTGAAGCTGACAGTATTTTGAAATAGTTGCACCTATTTTTTAATATTAACATCTACAGAGTTTTAGATCCGTGTTTCCGGTGATATGACAACTTTCCCGTACTTAGATAATCTTTTTTTTTTAAATACCAATATTTGAAATGGTAAAATATTTAATTATCATTTCGATTCACTGGTTCCTGAATATTTGTGCCACCGAAATTGTGATAGCTCCCCACGACCGCTGCCACAGAAGCCATGAAATATGAATAATGACCCTTGTTGCAGCGACAATTAACTTGCGGTGCTGCATCGAAATGTCTGCCAATCTGTGCGGAGGGGAGATTGAGATTAGAATGGAGCTCACAATGGAGGGCAGAGGAGTCGGGCGTTGAACTCCTCCGCATAGGAGCCAAATGCTCGCATAGAAATGGCTACATTTCGCAGCAATCCAAGCTAGTATCTGGTTATATGGCCAGAAATTCGCGCAGCCCGTGGGGAGAGCGAAAACTTTTTGAAAAATTCATATTATTTGTAAGTAGAGTAGTTGCGGGCACAAACTATGAACTATGCACCACCCGGTCCACGCCCCCTGCGTCGAACGCAAAATT